CCCCAAAACCCCAAAACCCCAAAACCCCAAAACCCCAAAACCCCTAAAGTTCTACTCCAACTTGAAAATGAAAGAGTGACGTAATTCAGCAGTGGCTGTTATCAAACCTGGTGGGGATGTTGTTTAGGGTTCTGTTATAAGAAGGTCTAGGGTCGCTTTGATGTGTGGAGAAACTTGCTCATTTCGATGAGTGTGCTTAGGGATAGATAGTTTGCGAACTGTGTAACCAAGTACTTGGGAATCTATAATAAGGAAAATTATTCAAAGAATTTAACATACTTTTCCTAATCTCTCAGCTTAGAAATGAAGTAAGTTTGTGAAGGGATAGCTTATTGAGGAAGCTTGATGGTATTTCAAAGGAAACATGGATTTTAATATCTTCTATAGTTCCTCCTCTCAATTACAAAATGAATTGGCAGAAATACTATTTGCATCTTCTGAACTTGTGAGCAAAAGAGCTATCATTCTTCCTCTTCCAGATAAATTATGTTGAGACTTGTCTGTATTAGATTCTCTTCCTGATTTACATTCATTACCAGTTAAATTCAACGAAGAACTAAAGATGATGCTGCTTCCACCTTTAAATAATATCTGCTCGAAAAGTGAGCAGACTCGGTTAGAGAAACCCGAACTATTCTTGGATCAGAGTAAAAGAGAGTTGCACAAAGAACCAGAATATTCTTGTGAGGTAAGGTATTCGTAGAGTTTATAACTCTCCATTCGTATCTTTTTAAGTTTGATTCCTTCAGTTTGTGATACAAAAACTTAAGACCAAATTAGGGTGTAATTGTTGCGAATATTTTTAACGCTAAAATACTTATAAAATCATACCTTTGGAAGGTATCCTAAACTTGAGACCAATGTTGAAGATTGCTTAAATATGGATTCTCATTTGAACTAGATCGTATTCGTGACTTATAATTATCTTTTAATTGTTTCAAGCATTGTTAAAATTAATCTTTGACTCCCATTAAGGTCAACAGAGAATTAAGTATTGATAAGCATCAGACTTCCATGATAAAACTAAAATGTAAGATATATCCTTATTAATAATAGCCCAAACTTCGGATCATAGTGAAACCCCCTGCTCAGATCAAGAAGAACCTGAAAGTATTGGAAATCTAATTAAAAATGAAGTGATTCCTCAATGGAATCAATACATGTCAATCAAAAACTTAAGGAAAGAAGCAGACCCTTCTATAAAACCTCGAGCAGATACATTTAAGAAGAAGATACTTAGAGACTTACGAGAATTCTACAGAATACTATTCCGAAAGAGGTTCCATTTATCCGAGTACAAAACAATCGAGGGAATCTCTAAATGAGTAAGAACCTTCTTTTCAGAGCTTACTCTAACCCCATCTCCTGAAGACCTATCCGACTTCCACCTCTTCCGGTTCCTGCACCAGACCCACAAGACCACGTGCTCTAAAATAACTCCTCACTTGGTCACCTCCAATACTTCTTCCTTTCTTGCAGTTGAGAAGTTCAATAATAGCAGGTATATCTCCTTCCTATCGCACTCTCTCAGTTCTCAAATGCTTACTCTGATCTACAGAACCTACCTCAAAGACTACACTCCCTTTATAAAATCAGGTATTCGCAAGAAAGTAGTCTCCCTTCTGGCTGAGATCTTGGATCAGAAATCAGTGTAGAAAAGAGTGGGGTTGGAGATTGGTTGTTTTGTATGTATTCAATTCTGATTGGCTACCTCGGGGTTTTGGGGTTTTGGGGTTTTGGGGTTTTGGGG